CACACACACACACACACACACACACACACACACACACACACACACACGGGGTGGGGGGGCAGAGTTTGGAACTATTGGGAGGAGAGGGTGGGCCTGAAACGAACTAGGGGAGGAGTAGTGGGTGAATAAGATCAGAATTCACTGTGTGCAAGCATAAAATTCCCAAAGCACTAATAAAATGTTATATTAAACTAGCAGCAGGGCAGGCATGGTGGCACACACTCTAATCCCAGCACTACAGAGGCATTAGACTGGAAGACCTCTAAGGTTTCGCAGTCAGCCTGATCTACAGATCCAGCTCCAGGACGGGCAGGACGACATAGAGAGGCCATGTCCCAAAAGAAGAAAGAACAGCAATAACAATAATGTCTCTCCTTGAACCAACACTGTGTCAAGTTCATTTGGTCATAACTTACTAACTTCTGACTAATACAGAGAGTTAAATAAGACAACACAAGAAATGGAAAGGCCTGCCCAAGCAGAGGGTTAAAAGTCTGTCTTGATGAATGCCACACCATCTCTGAAGAAAACTATGCAACAGATACCGTGAGATAAAATGACTGTTAGGCAACTATAGTCGGGGCTGTATGGAAGCTGCAGACTGTTGGTAAGAGTTTGGCTCCCAGTACCCATACTGGGTGGCCGACAAATCTCTGTGACTTCAGGGCATTACCCTCTTCTGTACTCCATTAGCCCCTGCAGACCTGTGACATGTACTCACACACACACACACACACACACAAACACACATATGCATACACATAAATAAAAATGCAAACAAATCTTTAAAAAAAAACATTGTACCATGTGTAGTCCCTTGACAAACACTTTTAATCATTATGTAGCCTTTCTTTGTATCTCATGATTTTTAACTGAAAGTAAAGAGGGTACTTCATTCTGGGAAAGAAATATTTGTGTGAGACAAAAGGGTTATGTCATAGATGGAGCAATGTGTATCAATGAACCGTCCTTCACGACAGTTTTAAGAGCTACATAGTGGGGCTAGAGAGATGGCCCAGAAGGTAAGAGCATTGCTGTTCTTCCAGGGCCTGGATCGAAATCACAGTACCCAACCATCTGTGACTCCAGTTCCTGAGGACATAATGCCTCTCTGAGTTTCACAGGCACCGTGCACTCATGTGGAGACAGATATAGGCAGAACATCCTTATACATAAAATAGAAAATAGATAAAACTAAAGAAAGAAATTTTGTTTAGTGTTTCTTATAAATGTTCACCATGGAGTCAGTTGACAGAATGGAGTGCTGGTTACACAAGATGAGGACCTACGTGCTGTGGGACAATGGTCTGTACCCTGTCAATTGTATTTTAAATAAATGCCGATTGGCCTGTAGCCGGGCAGAAAGTATGGGGGGGGGAGAGACATGGTGCGTGAGAATTATCTGTATTCTGTCAATCATGTATTTTAATAAAATGCTGATTGGCCAGGCAGGAAGTATAGGTGGGTCAACCAGACAGGAAGTAGAGGTGGAGCAATGAGAACAGGAGAAGGCTAGGAAGGAGGAAGCCCATTCCTCCATTCCTGCCCAGACCACAGAGAAGCAAAATGTAACCTGCCCCGCTGGAAAAGGTACTGAGCCACATGGCTAACACAGACAAAAATTATGGGTTACCATAAGATGTAAGAATTAGTTAATAAGAAGACTGAGCTAATGGGCCAATCAGTTTATACTCTTATGGAGTCCTCTGTGTGATTTTTTTTTTTGGGACTTGCTGGCGTGGGGTACCGGGTGGGACAGAAACCCCAACAAGCTGGCCCTCATGTTACAGTTACCCAACAGGAAGTAGAGGTGGAACAATGAGAATTCTGGGAAGAGGGAAGAGTCAGTCTGCAGCCATCACCCAGACGCAGAGGAAGCAAGATGTGACTTCCTTGCCGAAAAAGCTACCAAGCCACGTGGCTAACACAGATAAGAATAATGGGTTAATGTAAGACCTGAGTTCAGATCACCAGCTCCCCACAAAATGCCAGCCTTGTCCCTGTGTGCCTATAATCCCTTGAGCTAGAAGGCTGAGACGGGAGGATGGACAGGCATTCTAGGTGATCAATAGAGAAGAGCCCCAGATCAGCCTCTGGCCTCTACACATGCGCACCCACACATACACTCAGACCTCCCGTCCATCATTTGACTATGTTGTCTGCCACAGCATTGTTCCCAATCCTTCATATAATGTGTAATTTGCCTCATCTTAGTGAGCATTTGAAGCACAGACTGCGATAGCTTGTATTTTTGTCTCTTGTATGTGATAGCTTCTCCCTGTCCACCCTTCCTCCGCCTGTATTTAACTGGATTGCTGCCTTAAAAGGCAAGGAATAGTGACAGTGTTTGTCGCTCCTGGAATGAACTAAACAAACAGCTGTGGTTAGTGTGCAGGAATGTCGATGTTCAGAAGGCAGACTGTTTGGATATCTGTTTGAGCACCGAGATTCATAGGACAGAATTCCATTTAGAACTCAGTATACAGGTGAAGTAAAAACCCCAGGGGTAGATGGGACCTGGAGGCTTGACTGACTCCTTTGTAAGTACAGCTCAAGGCCAGGCAAGGAGAATGGAAATTGTGAAGAAGTCCCATTCTGATGTGTGGACAGACAATTTGCTTACACACCAGAAGATAAATAGGGAAAATCTGTATTTAGTATGTGTACTTCCCTCTTCTTTACCAAAGGAAAGGCCTTGTGATTTTGTTGAATGTCCAGGCCTGTCTTCAGTCTCCCTGCACTGCCAAGGATGACCTTGACCTCCTGATCCCCCTACCTTGACCTCCTGAGTGCTCTAATTACAGGTGTGCAGTGCCATACCCAAAGAATGGGGCTTTTAACCACCTGAATATTATAGTGATATTTTATTTATGTTTTAATAAACAAAGCTTTCCTGAATATTAGAAGAGCAGTATTAGAAGAGCTGGCACACACCTCTAATTCCGGGATTTGGGAGACAAAGGCAGATGGATCTCTGTGAATTCAAGGCCACCCTGGGCTACACAAGATCAATGCTAAAACATATCCAAGTGGTTGTGGCTCAACCTTTAACCCCAGTACTAGGGAGTCATGCCTTTAATGCCAGCAGTAGAGGGAATATAGAATGGGAGGAGAGAGGGGCTTGGGCTGCCTGGTCTGCTTAGCCTACCGTCGCCCAGCCTTGGTAAGACTTCTCTAGTGGCTTGGCTGCTTTATTTTTCTGGTTTTCAGGTTGAACATGGCAAGGTATTAGCAGAACAGAGGATAAAATTAAGTTTAGAAAGGAAAACAAATTAGGACCAAGGAATTAAGAGGGGTGTATCTGACCTGTTTAAGGTGGATCCTTCAGTTTGGCTCCCTGGAACTTTTAAGTTTATGAAAACCCAAATTTTGGGGTTTATGAAAACATAAGTTTTAAACAGCAGCATGGTTATACCAGAATGACTGTGACAGATATTTTTGCATAATGAAAAGTATCTTTAAGAGTACGAAAGGCAGCATGAGAGAGAACTTTGTCCTCACATCTTTATAACTTGTAGTTACACACCTTAATAACTTTTATTTGTATCTTATTGAAATTTGTTTGGTGAGGCTGTCCTTTTAAACTGACAAAACCTCTTAGATGTTAAATTGCATCAGAGATCTTTGTGAAGGATAAAATATTACTTGAATTATTGATTTAAAAATGACAGAGAATTTATTTGGTTGGCTACCTAGGCTTACTCCTCAGGGTCCTCTGTGGTCATTGTTTTGGGTTTTATTTGCCTTTTGCTGTTTAGTGCAGGGCCTGCCAGGCTTTAGAAGATCCTGTGGGTTAGAAATCGGTAGGAAGACAAGCCTACCTTGACCTGAGCAGTTAGGCTATCTAACTGCTCAATTCTGTCCACCGTCTGGAATCTTCAGTTTAGATGAAAGGCAGTTTTTTCCCAGTGGTTAGGACTTGGCAGTTGATGAAGCGAATTGTGGATGGATGTTGTTTTGTGCCCATTTGTCTTCTGTCTTCTCTGAAGGACGTAGAGTGGTGTTTCTGTCTCTCTGTTATGAAAAGTCTTTTCATGATTAAATATTTAAATGCCATATTCCCCAGATCTATACCGGGTACCGATGAGTTATAACTACAGTATGGAATCTGCCTGGAGAGTTAGGTCCGAGCTTGACTGTACTGGCTCTCAACTTAACAGGAAAGATTTGTACTTGTAAAAGACAAAGAAGAAAAAACTGCTTGCAATAGAAGCTTAACAGTAGCACTGACAATAGTAGAGAACAGCTTAATATATTTGAAAGCAGAGTTGGATTAAATATACCGTATTTTTAGAAGAGACTTGAAAGTATGTATTTTTATAATTTAAAACATGATACTTATTGCTTTTTTAGTCTGGAATGATATATAATGGACTGATGATTATAATGCTTAACAATAAACATACATGTATTAAGTCACGTATATGCACATACACACCCATTAAACAGTAATTGGGAGAAGTGGATGCTTTTGGTGGGCCCTACCGAGGGCATGCCACTATGTAAAACACATATATAACAGAGTCAGTAAGAGAAATTTAGTGATAAAAACTTAAGTAAACAGGGGGACCAGGCAAGGGATGCCTCAGTAAAGATGGCGGGACTTGGTCACTTTACCTGGCCCTCAGTTAAGATGAGAGTGAGGTCACCTGACCTCAGTTAAGATGGCAGTAAGGACAACTGACCTCAGTCAAAATAGCAGTTGTCACGTGTTGTATGGAGAAGCCTCATTTTTTCTGAGCTGCAGGAGTTTTAAATATAATAACAAGAGAGGCATAGAGGCTGTGTAGAACATACATTTAAAACAGAATTACATCTGTGTGGCCACACCATTCACATATTCTTTCATATATGATGTAGAGAAGAAAATTACTTAGCACCATGAGCTGCTGTGTCGCAGCATGGAGCAAAGGCTAGAACTGGAAACAGCTGCCTCTCGAATCCAACTAATCTTGTCAGTTTCTGCGGGACCAGCGGTAGCGGTGGCAGGGATAGAATAGAAGTAATGGGAGTGAGAAGTAATGGGAATGTTTATAGATGGGTGGGGAAGGGGCTGCCCAGCGAAGACAGGACACTGGCATTGCATTTACAGGAGGGTGGCTGATCGTTTTTTTAGGCTTTGTTTCCGATAGCTGAAAACATGAAAGCAGCAAAAACAGTGGAAACCTCAAGGCCCAGAAGGGGTACATTCTCCCTCTGCAGGTGGGGTTGATAATTGAGCCTGGCAGGCTCTGGTGACTAGGGATCCAAGGGCTAGAGGCCAACCCAGGAGGTCTCTCACAGCGGGGACCACTTATGAGAGGTCTGAAAGGGAAAAGAAAGAAAGAAAGGAAGGAAGGAAGGAAGGAATAAAGGAAGGAAGGAAGGAAGAAAGAGAAAGAAAGAAACCTAAAAATAAAAAAAAAATTGAGGAACCCCGATCCCAAAATGAATGCACCCGCTCAGTGTGTGCAGTGCTAGGGGAGCTGAAATGGCTCAAACACCAGGAGGACCACCCCCCGCAGTGGGGTCATGTTTCTAGCTATGGGAATCAATCAGAAATGAAGGTGAGCGGAAAGCTGACTTGGAGAAGAGAGCCTTACCATTTGTAGCGATGGAAAATGGTCTGAATCCAGGGTACCATGTGTCCTCAGTTGGCCCACCGATAGGCGGGAGGGAACGTGGAGAGAGCCTGGCCGAGTCAAGCACCAATGGGTATCAAAAAAACATGTTTTTAAAACAAAAATAAATAAACAAAAGTCTTGACGAAGTCAGAACTGGTAAGTTGAGTCCAGTAGATTCCGTGTGTTTCAGAACTTGCTCTGCATGGCTCTGCACGATTGAAAGATGAACATCGGCCATGATTCAAGCTCATCCATAATCTTTAACCATGCTTTGGATGTAGGTTCCGGTAATGATTTTCCATTTTCTCACCCTATTTTTAGTTCTGATGATGCAACAACCAAAATGTAATCACCGGGTTTCTTTTGCCTTACTTGAAAACTTTATGCTTTAATTTCAAAAAAGTTCTGGAAAGTGAGGGCAAATACATTTTCCAGCAGATTCCCTAAAGGACAAAGCAATGCCTTTGAAATATAACACTGGAGTCAAATTACATGAAGAGGAAACTTACAATTACTGGATACTTTTGCTTTCTTTCAGTCTTGTGTGAGCATCATGGGTTCAGGGCACCCATGCTGGAAGTGGATACAGTTCTTTCTGAGTCAAGATGTACAAAACCAAATGTTGCTTTCATTTCTTCTTTCAGGAGATGTTTGTTGAGCCTGTGTGATGTGTGACATGATTATGAACAAGATGACATCTTTTTCTTTGACTAGAAAGAAACAGTCACTAAAGTAAGCAAACGCATGCATTCAAATCTATAGAGAACATTATAGCTGAGTGTAATGGCGCACACCTTTAATCACAGCACTTGGAAGGCAGGGCAGGCAGATCTCTGCATTTGAGCACAGCCTGATGTACAGAGTTAGTTTCAGGCTAAAGAGACTCTATCTAAAAATACCCGATCTGTGTTCATCCAGCAAACTGTGACTTGATTTGAACTTCATCTGTAATGAGTGTTTTTCAAAATATCACACAGGGGCTGGAGAGATGGCTGAGTGGTTAAGAACCCTTGATGCTCTTGGAGGGGAATCAGTTCAGTTCCCAACCCTGACGTTAGATGGCTCAAAACTTTCTGTAACCCCAGCTCCATGGTATCAGCTCTCCTCTTCTCCAAGGGGACTTCATTCCTATTCCCGCAGGAGCACATGCACACACATACATGCAAACACACACACACACCATTTAAAAAGTGAAATCTAACAAAATGTGTCTGTCTTTCTCTTTCTTTAGCCAATAACAATGAGAAGACTTTTGTGGAAGTGCCCAGAAGACAGTCATCATTGTAGACCTTTCTTCCTTAAAATGTGCTTCACAGCGGAGCAGTACCGTCATCACTTAGAACCTGCTGGAATTCTCTTTGGCAACACGGCAGGAGGACTTGCTGAGTAGAGAGGGCCATGACACAAGCTCTCTAGAAGACCCCTCTGCACACTCTAGCATCACACATATGTTGATGACTCAACATGTTTTATGACTTAGAAAGACAGCCCCCAAAGTTAACACATAAAAGAGAAAGCTTCTTGTTTTCCTTTGGTTTAGCCCAGGCTGACTTGGAGGTATGCAGCCAATCCCGAACTCCTGACCTCCCAAGAACAGGGATTACAGGCATGTACCTCCACACCCAGATGGAAATTTGTGGAGACCTTGATCAAGATTCCTCTCAGCAGCCCATCAAGGGCCTTTTGAGAAGCAAAGCTTAACTGTGCATAACTCCAGACAAGACCATCAATAGGGCTGGAGAGCTAACAGTCAGTGGGGTGGCACACTACGAGTTTGGACTCCATTGTCAGTGAGTGAGGACTCTGAAGGATTTCAAGACCAGCAGAGAATTAGGCTTGCTTTTTCATAAAGATACGTCCATCATCAATCACTGTTTAAGAAAGGTTCAAAGGACCCACACACATGAGCCAAGAGCTTATTTTAATTTCCCAGGCACTGAGGGCCAATGCGTTGCTGAAGCCAGGGCTTGAAGGGAAGAAGCTGACCCCAGAGATACCATGATAGCTGGCCAATCAAGTTTCTTCCTCAGTCAACCAATGAGGCAAGAGAATGAAGAGAAAGAAATTAGAAGAGCAGGTTAAAGAAAAGGTCTGAGGTGTAGTGAAAGTTCCACATCAAGCCTCTGGGATGTCATTGTGGAGAGAGACAGCTGCTAGGAGCTTCAGAGACAGATCTCGGCCTAGTGATGGCAGCTGCCAAATGGATCCTCGGGAAGTGCCAGTTCTGGAGGAGAGGGACAATTTTCAGATATCATTAGTTAGTCTGCACACTTAAATGGATAGTTAGTGTGAAATGCTTGCTCATTTGCTTTGAGATAGGATCTTAATATACAGCTCAAGTTGGCCTAAAATGGTCAATCCTCTACTTCTACCTCCCTACCTCTGGGAATATAAGCATGGACCACCATACCTGAATGAGAAGGATATTTGTTGTTGTTCCTTTGCTCTGTGTATGGGTGTGTATATGTATATATGTGTATGTATTTGTATGTATATGTGTGTTTATATATGTGTGGTTGCACATGTGGGTGACAAGGTTGGTGTTAGTTGTCTTCTTGGATTGCTGTCTACCTTGTTCAATGAGGTAGAGTGTCTACCTGAACCTGGAGCTAGTCATTTGGGTCGGTTTGGCTAGTCACATGCTTCATAAATTTCCTTCTCAACCCCTACTCATTGGGAGGGATTGCAGGCACCCACACACCCATTTGTCTTTTGTGTGATTTGGGGAACTGGACTCATGCTTGCTTGACAAGTGTTTTATCCACTAAGCCACCTTGCTAGCCCAGTACTATTTTAATGTGAGTATCCTTGGTTCTATTTTAGAAAACACGAGTGGATGAGTTTCCTTCTTGTATGTAACCTCTTAGCTACCTCACAGTTTTTGAGTGGCAGAAAGAAACTATCAACAGGAACCAGAGAGCAATGATAATCATGAGGCACTGGTTTGCAAGGGTGGGGTAGTTAACTCATTCTTTTTGCTGTTGTTGTTGTTTTGTTTGTGACAGAGTCTCTCTATGTAGCCCTGGCTGTCCTGGAATACATCATGTGGACCAGGCTGACCTCAGGCTCCCAGAGTCTACCTCTGCTTCCCAAGTGCAAGGATCAAAGGTATGCACCACCATGTCTGGCTAACTAGACATTCATTCTTCCTATTTTACTGTGAGTATCCAGAAGTCAAGCAAAACCCCTCCCCTGTCTCCTTCCTGTTCTCCTTTCTTTCTTTTCTTTCCTTTCTTCCCTCTGCTCTCTCTCCTCCCTCTTCTCCCCCTCGCTACCAGACAAGCTCTGTCACTATTTATATCCTTGTCTCTTCTCTCCTCCTTTCTCTATCCCAGACATGAAGAAAAAGTTAGATGGTGAGTCACCCTCAGTCTTCAGAGAGCAGGACCTGAAAGACAAGTTTTCAAGACACTGTGCCTGAGACTCTGGCTTGTAACCCTACCACCAGGGAGTCACTGTGCTCAGGAGATCTCTCCCAAGAGAAGGGCCTACTAGGACAGAAAAGGGACCACACCTGCCACTTGGTAAACCTGGTACACCCATCCAAGCACAGCACTCCTCTCTGTGTGAAGTTGAACCCAGTGTCTAGGACAAAACAAAGTTTGTTTTAGCATACATGAAGTGCTGGGTTTAATCTCCATCACCAAATAAAACTAGCATTGTTATGCACGCCTTCATTCCCAGCAGTAAACAGAAGCAGGACGATAAAAAGTTCACTATTACCCTTTACTACATAGTGAGGTCACATCCATTCTGGGATACACAAGACTTGATCTCTAAAGGAAAAATACAGAACCTGAAAGTTTTTCCTGCAGCTGCTGAGCGCTGGTGCACTGAACCCTGGCTTGACCATGGGATGAGGGCAAGAACTGCAGGGCTGTAAACACTCGCGGTACGGGGCATTCTCTCAACTCCCTGTCAACTTTTTTTTATCTAGCAAAACTAACACTTCCTCTCAGTAGTCCACTTCTTTCTCTCAGTTAAAGTTTAATAAACTGATGAAGAGAAAAGAATCACTAACAAATATATGAAGAATAAAAATAGTAATTCTGCCCTCTACTGAAATGATTGTGTTTTGTTGTTATAATAGCTGACTTTTACAGTCTTTCCGGCTCTATTCTGTCCACACAAGCTGACGTCAGTGCACTTGAGGAGGGGACAGTCTCCTGTAAAGGAAGCGACCACTGTGACTCCTAACCAGATGGCCTTTCCCATGTGTTTTCTTCCGGGAGGACTTGCTCCAGCCACAGAGACTGCGAATCTACTCCTGCTGTTAGGGTTAAACCATTCATGAACGGGCAGAATTCCAGTGGTAACTTCTCTGCTGAATGTGGAGTTATTTGTTTGACTAAGTTTCATTAAGCCACAGCAGGACATGTTATTTTCCTCAAGATGTCCCTCTCTGCCTATGCCAGTGTCTGTGACAGGTTGCCAATTAGTTGCCACACTTAGGGGTTGGAAGCAAACAATGAGTTCCATGTTCTCTTTCTATGCCCAGTCAAGCTCAAGCAACAAGTGGGATCCTCCATGCCAAACAGGATAGCCTGCCTCTATTTGTCTCCAAACCTGCTCTAAGATGTCGTTACAACAACAAAACCAGGGACAAACATTCTGGACAGTTTTAGGGCCTCATGCATTCCCAACAGTATTGTTTAAAACTCTTTAAAGCAGCGATTCTCATCCTTCCTAATGCTGTGACCTGTTAATGCAGTTCTTCGGGTTGTGGTGACCTGAACCATAAAATCATTTCATTGCTACTTCATAAATGTAATTTTGTTACTGTTATCACAATGTAAATATCTGATATGCAACCATTGTGGAGTCGTGACCCACATGTTGAGAACGACTGCTTTAAGGAATAAAAGTTATGAAAATGGGGTTAGGAGATAGTTCAGTTAGTAGAGGTTTTGCTTAAGATGCATAAGACCTTGGGATCTATTCCTAGGATCATAATAATCAGGCCTAGTGGAACATATCTGTGACCCCAGCATGCAAGAGGTAGAGGTAAGAAGATCAACAGTTCAAGGTTACCCTCAGCTATATGGAGTCTGAAGCCCAGTTTTTGTACATGAGACCCTAGATATGGAAATATGAAAAAGAACTCTTTCAAGGCTGAGAGAAGGCCCATTCAGGAAGAAACATTGTGCACTGCAGGAGATGCTGTCTCAAACAAGACGGACGGTGAACACTGATGTCTTTCCACCTACACAAACTGCTCAGGACTGGCTACAGCAAGGCTGGAAGTCATCAGTGGGGCAGTCCTGCCTGGCTCTTCAAGGCTCTGAGTCTAATGATGTAGGCTGTGAACTCTGAGAATCACACACTGCACACAGAGGTACAAAGACACACCTCTTCTTTGAATGCAGTAGAAGTATCCTTTAAAATGAGGATTCAATAGACTTTCTTTTGAGATGCGGTCTCACTGGCCAACTTGTAACTCTCTATGTAGATTACCGCTTTCAACTGTCTTTAAAGTGCAAATGTGAACCAGAGCTGAAAAGAGGGCCAGTAGCTAAGCATGCTTGATGCTCTTCCAGATGGTCTGAGCTCAGCTCTCCGTACCCACTCTGTGGGTTCAGAACCACCAGCAATTCCAGTGCCAAGGTGTCTGACGCCCTCTTCTGGGCTCCAGGGGCTCTGCCACACAAGTGGTACGCATACACAGAGAGAAATAAAAGAAATCTCTGTGTGTGTGTGTGTCGGCCTTGTCTCTTTGACTTTATCCTTAATGATTGGCATAAATAACTTAAGACAGAGAAAAATAACTACTCTGACTTTTTGTCAGTGAGCAAATGACTTAGCACAAGAGAATAATACTTTATGGTAATCATGACTAATGCCTTCTGTCTTTGCTAATTAGTCTCTCTCTCCCCCCCCCTCTTCCGTCTTTCATTCTCTTTCTCCCTTTCTACCCCACGTCTGTCTTCTCTCAACAGTAGTAGCTGATGAGGGTCTCATCTTTGGGCTTTGTTCTTTCTTCACCCAGTTCTCTGAGAATAGGACAGCAGAGCATCATCGACCTTAGGACATCAGGTCCTGAGCTGTTGTACTGTCGCTGTGAAATCCACGCTTTGCTGTTACTTCTGCTTCCTTACTTTGTGGTCTAGGATTGTTGCTGATATGGTTCTCTGTTAAACCAAAGCCAGACCCTCCCCCTCCCCCACATTTCCAGCCTCATCTCAGCTCCCTCCCTCTGCCCCTACCCCTCAAACATCAGGGCTGCCCTTCTCCCCAGACTGCCCAGTTTATCACACTGATTCCCTTTTAAATGCAGGATGAAAAGCAAAGCTATTTTGATTCCCACTTCATCTCACAAATCACTCACCATATTTTTTCCCTCTCTCTTGCCTCTGCTTGTGTCCTCCCAGCCTTGTGTAGACCGACTACATCCAGGCTTCCTCTTCTTGGCTCTCATATGGTTGATTGTAGCTCTTTGGTTTTCCAAGTCTATTGGATAATGAGCTCCTGGAACCTGGAGACTCACATAGAGTGGGCTATACTTTGGCTTACCCTGTGGCACACTGCTATTTCTTATGCTCACACAAAGCCATTTTATCTCAAGGCTAACTGTACTTAGCATTTTTGTTGTTGTTGTTCATTGTGACAGTAATCAGAGGAACTAGGAGACATCTCTGTATGAGAACACTTTCTAGCCCCCGAGGGTCCTATAATTAAGTCACATGGTGATGTCATACATTACCCAACCTGATGAGGAATGGTAGGGACAGAACATCGTGGGAATAAAACAATGATTACAACACTTTTTAGTGATTTGTTTTTATTTGGGTGCGGTGTGGGTGTGTGTGTGTGTGTGTGTGTACTCACATGTGCCAACAGAGGCCAGAAGAGAGCAGCACATCCCTGGAGCAGCAATGACCTATGTGAGTCCAAGCCTGCTTTGGAAGAGCAGCATGTGCTCCTGCCCGCAGAGTCATCTCTGCTACTCTGTAAGGATTTCAATAACAGAGTTAACAACACTTGTCATATCAGGGCCTAATCTTAATATTCTTTTTCTGTTGTTAGAAGAGTTTATTAGAATCGGGCCGGTGAGATAGCTCAGTGGGTACCAGCACTTACTGAAAAGTTTGATGACCTGATTTCCATCCCTGGGATCCACACGGTGGAAAGACATTACTAAGCCTTGCAAATTATCCTTTGACCTCCACAATGCTGTGGCAAATAAACAAGTGGATATATAAATATTAAGTAAGTATATACATGTGATAAAATACCTTTAAAACTGAATGTTGATTCCATTGACTTTAAAATATATCTTCTTTGTCAATAACTGACCTGAGTAAATGAAAACATATACAAAGGGGCCATGTGTGCTTCCTTTTATACGAGGAACCCAAGTCATTGAAGCCATACAGGCAGAAACAGAAAATTGAACAGTCGTTGCCAGGCAGTGAGGAGCAGGCAACAGGACTCGAGTTTAATAAGAACAAAGTTTGAGTGGATGAGGGTAAAATGTTCTGAAATGAAAGACAGGGAAGACTGCCCACAATTGGGGATGTACTTAGTGACAGGTGTGGAAAAGATAGGAAAGTTTACACATATTTAAGCACAGTAAATGACTTTTAGAAAAGAATCACATAGTGGTAGCTTGAATGAAAATGACCCTATTGTTCTTTAAAATGATAATAGGTTGGGATGCCCCAAGTGGCCTGCGAGCCAGGCAAAGGCTGCCGCCAGAGCAGTGCAGGTTCCCTGGGCAAGCGGCAGAGTCAGGCGGCTGGATGTGGTGGATGGCAGAGTAAATGGACATAAGGCTATACATAAAGCTAAACATTTATTACTTAAAGAAGAGGGAGATAGAGAGACATGGAGAGAAACATAGGGAGAGACAGAGATACGTGTACACACGCCTAGAGACGGACAGAAGAGAAAGAGCTAAGATGGCGACCAGGAGGTCAGAAGTGGCTGGGAGTGGGTGTGGTTAGCCCTTAAAGGGACCACAAAGGAATAACAGACCCCATAGACTCATTGGGACTGACATTATTGGGAGGAGCCATGTTGTTGGAGGAAGGGTCTAACTAGGGGCAGGTTTTGAGGTCTCAGAAGCTCAAGTTAAGGCCTTTTGTGCAGTTTCTTCTTGCTTCCTTTGGATCCAGCTAGATAACTCTCAGCTCCTTCTCCATCACTGTGTCTGCCTGCATGACACCATGTTCCTGCCATGACAATAAGGAACCAATCTCTGAACTGTAAGCTAGTTCCAATTAAATATTTTCCTTTATAAATGTTGCTGAAGTTATGGTATCTCCTCATGGCAATAAAATTCTAACAAGACAGATGCTTTTGAAAAAGTTATTATTATTATTATTATTATTATTATTATTATAGACTGAGTCTGTCTACATAGCTGACTGTCCCAGAATTCCTTTTATAGACCAAGCTGTCCTTAACTGGTAGAGATTGCCTGACTCTGCCTCCAGTTTGCTGGCAATAAAAGCATGTGCCACAATGCTAGGTGTTTTTTGTTTGATTTGTTTTATTTTGTTTATCCTTTGGGCATGATCATGCTGGAAGTCATAGACGTGATTGAGAATGAAATGAAATAGTGTGAAACATGCCCTGAGGGGTTTCCTTTAGAAAAGGCAAGAGCCAAGGTTGTCAACAGCAACAATAGCCCTCATTTCCTTTGAAGTCACAGAAGACTCTACTGCTGCCAACAGCTTAGTCATCTTCTCCCAAACATCATTGTAGTCCTAGAAAATTTGCTTCTTGGAGGTGTAGGTCTTTTCTCAAGGGGCCAAAGTGATGGCTCAGTGGTTAGGGGCACACACTGCTCTTGTGAAGTGTTGTAGGCCACTATTTGAGGAGATTCGATACCCTCTTCTGACCTCCACTGATACTTGTCCACATGTCACATGCTCACACACACGAACACATATATAAACACTTAAATACGTAGTTAAACACTAAAAATTAATTTTAAAAAAAGGTCTGTTCTCAATAACTGCAAGACAATACCTTCACAGAAACACTTCTGGAGGCATCTACAGGGAAAGAGGGTTTTGGGCAGATTCACACTGCTGCATCTGCTGCCCAAGCCCACTCCCTATTTACCCTTGCATCTGCTGCCCAAGCCCACTCCCTCTTCACCCTTGCACAGAAACACAAAGCCGAACTCATCACTGCTCTATGAAGCAAACAGAGACATTTCCTGTGCCAATACCCGTGCCAGTGCCAGCGGGTGTGTTCCGCCAACAATATCTGTGCAGCCAACAAATGCCACGTACTACAAAAGTGCAAGTCCCTGGACAGGCTCCACTGAGGTAAAACTACACTTGCAGATTCGGGAAACTTTCATTTTGAAGCCCATCTCTTGCACACTATCAGGTTCATTTATTACGGTTGGAAACCAATAATGGGCAAACAAAACTGTCAGTCAGTTCATCTGAAAGCCGAACCGTTTCTGGTGTCTCAGGTGGCTGGGTTGACGTGGCATGAGAGAAGGCCAGACTACCAGCTATGATTAGAGCATGAACCAGACTGAATCATGGGTAACTCTGAAAGCACCCACAAAAAAAATTCACTCATTCACACTGTACTATTGGGGTGAAGGGTGGGCAGAAAAGTCACAGTTCCACCATAGGGTGACTGTGGGCTCCAGTGGAAAGACCCTGATTCTTAGGCACCCCTACCAGGCTGCAGCATACCTGTTTCAGGGATACATTCACTCATTCATTCTGGATTTTCTTTCCTGAACATCTCAGAGTCAAGCAGGATGCTCTGAATTCTTTGTCTTCCCATCTAAATCACTTTACCTAGGTCCCAGTGGTGTAGACAGTCAGCATAAAACGTAGAATTACCTATCCACACGAGGGAATGATAGCCCAGGTCTTAGAGTCTATGCAACAGCTGCATTTGCCGAAAACTGAACAACAGATAGCAGTTTTAAAAGCTGCTTATCAAAGGGTGTGATGCGTTTTTCACAGAATTTTTCACAGCAATTGTTCTGTTTTATACTGTTTCAGAGCAGTCCATGTCATCTGGGAGCTTGGAACAGGAATGAGTGAGGCCTTACTGGTTTTCTGTCCTTCAGTGTGTGTGGCAGATAGATGGACATAAACATAGCCCACTACCTCCCCTTCATAACTGACAAACAGCACTGCTGCCTTCCGCAGACAAGGCCACACTTGGAAACGAAAACAACTGTAACAAAAGTGGTTGCAGCCAGGCCTGAGAATCAGAGTCCAGTCCTTGGCATCTATAAGATGGAATAGACAGACAGCTGCAGCAACGTGTCCTCTGACTTCCACAGAGTCACAAGTTTATACTCTCCCTCCCTATAAATAAATATAGTAAAATGAAATAAATTGAATGTAATTGTGATCACACATCTTTTTCAAATGTGTGCAGAGTAATAATAAAAATATGAACCGGGCGTGGTGGGGCACACCTTTAGTCCCCAGCACTGAGGAGGCAGAGGCAGGCGGGTCTCTGTGAGTTCAAGGCCAGCCTGGTTTACAGAGTGAGTTCCAGGACAGCCCAGGACAGCCAGGGCTATACAGGGAAACTCTGGCTCAGAAAAACAAAAAAACAGCACACACACACACACACACACACACACACACACACACACACAGAGAGAGAGAGAGAGACAGAGACAGAGACAGAGACAGAAGAAAATTGGATGTAGGCTTTTAAAAGAAGATTTTAAAACAAGCCATCATGTATACTGTTTACATGATTTTGTCTATTTTAAAGTTTACATGCTATTTTTAATGTCATTGTATGCTTAACAAATTGAAGCTAAAAGTTTCTGAAATTTAATTGGGAAAAAATGTAAAGCACTTTGATGGATTTTTTTCCCCCATGATTTGGACTTTTTTTTTTTTTTAAAAAAACAAAACAAAACAGATGGTTCAAATATACACAGCGATGGAAATGTAGAAACAGAAAGCAGACCCGTAAGAAAAGTAACAGAGTTCTCAGAAATTCTACTGATGAGGCAGGAGGGGGTAAACAGAGACCTCTCTTGCTGCCAGGATGTCAACAGAACTCACATTTACTAGGTGAACCTCTGCCACAGGGGTGACTTCCTCTTTGCAGGAATTCTTATTTTACCCCAAGAAAAGGGTTTCAGCGCATAGTTCATGTTGACCTTGAACTCTCAACTAATCTCTTCCTTAAGCCTCTTAAGTGCCGGTATTGACCACCACTACCACCAAAGGAGTTAAGGATTCGTTGAAATACTTGGTCAGGTCAACACGTTGACACTCACCCAGGTGCCAATCTGAGACTCTAAAACTGTAAGTGCAAAATATGTAAATTTAAAAATCTTCCCACCTTCTTACAGACTGGGGGAAATACTCCAGACACCTCACCGCTGATCAACGCAGCGGGGCTGGGAAACAGGCAGAACACCCTTCTCACCTCGGACGTCTGGGCAGGATCCTGAAGGCAAGGAAACCTGAACGCGACTGGGAAGTTTACTCCAGCAGCCTTGAGAATATTGACTTTAGCACGAGCTAACGTGGGCGTCCCTTCGCGTGTGCCTGGGAGGGACGCAGGGCGGTTGGAGATGGTTTGGGACGCACAGGGCCGGGCAATCACAGCGGGCCGGGAGGGGAACAGGTCGCGCTCGGGGCAAGGCTGCGGAGCAGTGCTGGGCGCCAGGAGCGAAGTGCGCGCGGCGGGG